TAAAATATTTTTTTTTTTTTAAAAAGTAGCCTATGTTCATCAGGGACAATGTCGGCTTCTAATAGAAAAAGAATTTTTCAAATCGGTCCAGTAGTTTCGGAGCCTATTCGAAACTAACAAACAAACAAATCTTTCCTCTTTATAATATTAGTATAGATATAGATATAGATAAAAGTATAGATTTAAGCCCGCTGGTTATTGGTAAAACAATCCTGTCTATTTCTGCCGCGAAGTAGCAACGGGTTCTAGTTTGAAGCGTGCTACAACCATTAATTAAATTACATTAAATTTACATTAGAGATATTGAAAACTTTCTCAAGGGTAATGGCATTATGGCGTATATATATCGTGAATTTACGAAAATGTATAGTTGCTAAATCAGAGAAGGCAACGTTTTAGCAAAATGCAATAATAAAGAACTCATAAAGCAACAGAATGAGGGACCCGACGTATTATTTGTCCTTTGATTAAGTCCTATTTCGGTACGCGAGGTTCCATATAGAGAAAGTTTCATACTAAAACGAACTATGTAAGGGTTCTTGTTTTATACATAATGACATACCAGCATTCACGTCCACACTCCGTAAACTATAGTTCCGCTTTGATTTTGATGTAGTCATATAAAAATCACGACATGTGAGCTCAGTATTCGGTAAACGAAGTTTTAGCTTTATGCAGAAACTTTAAAGCCACAAATAAAGCTACGATATTACATTACTGGCCCGAAGCTCGTACAAAAAGCTTGTAAAAGTTAGCCGTTTATACTTTAACGTCGTAGCTTAGTCGAAAGCCTCTTGTTTGTGTTCGGATTTGTCGAGTTACGAATTTTCTCCGATTATCACTGTGTACAGTATACGCGTATCAATTATGAAATTGGATTTATTCCTTGAAATTTGTTCATAAAATAATATGTTATTCAGTTTTAATTTGAAGAAAGTTTAAGTTTAACTATTAAAAAAAAAAATTGATCCCTATATCAATTATTTTCGATAACATTTGCTAAGATAGCTCACCCACTTTACATATGTATGTCCGTGTGTTTGTTCACTCTATACTCCGCCATACTTGAAGCAGTTTGAGGATGATTCTATTGATTCTTTGAGATGAGATTTAGCTAACATTGAATTTTTATTTCATTCATTCTAGTGCATAGAAAAACTTAAAACTTATTGGAATGTCTGTAAATATAATACTGGAAACAATGCTCGAGTTTAATGTCATTTCGAATCTCCACGTCATTTCATTTGTTTTTTTTTTATTACTCTCTATTTTGAAATGTTATAAATGTTATTTATAACGGTACAGCTGAGTACAAACGGCCCAAATTACGTCTAACATAAGAACGAGTACATTCAAAAGTCGACTGTGTAGGGGACAGAGTACAAGGAATTGACACAACAGGTGCCAACGGTCGTGGTGTTGCGCGACCTGCTGCTACTAAATGAAAGATAAGGATCCAGGTCGTATCGCCGGGTCCAGGTTCGATCCTCGCTCTCACTTTATTAGATGATTCGATGTTTGAATGTACTTGTTCTTATTTTAGATGTATTTTTTGCCTTTTTGTACTCAAATGTACCGTTATATCCCATAGACACAGCCCACTGAGTTTCTCGCCGGATCTTCTCAGTGGCTCGCGTTTCCGATCCGGTGGTAGATTCCCGAAGTACGGCTCTTGCTAGGGTTTGTGTTAGCAACGACGTCAGGCTTGAGCCCTGTGAGCTCACCTACTTAATCGGTAACGCTGATATTGTCCCTCAAGACTATAAACTTATGTAGGAAAAAAAAGCTCGAGCTTAAATATATTAAATATGACAATAACGACAATGCGAATAGTTAAATAATTTATTAATAAAAAACTTGCGGAGGCAAGAAAAACATTGACATACAAATAGAGAAATACCAAATTTCGATTGTAAAAAAAAAACACACCGACAAAATAAAAAACCAAAGGCGCTTCAAGAGTATTCGCGAAAACGAAATGTTGCCCGCGTAATGGCGAACACAAAAACCAATTCCGAATCACACGTCTAGTGGGCATTCAGAGGCATTCCAATATAAGGTCATACCGGGACAAATACCGACCCATGTTCACAAATATCGACATCCAACTGAAGTCAAATCAAATATAAATTAAATTACTATTGCATGCGACCGCTGAGGAGTTTTTATATGTAGTTTAATGTTTTGTAGCTTCGATGCAGATCAGCACACGACCCCCTACGTTGATAAGTGATTAGCGTCACCCATAAATGTCAAAATTAAAGCATTGTTACATAAAAACATCTTTAAATGGACCGTGTCTCAGCACTCTGGGAACATCGAAGCGTTCATTGTACAACCGGATGGTACTTGGCAAAGATATTCATTGTGGTTGATTAAATTATAATGGGTAAAGACTTTGTTACGATTACGAGTGTCGCCTTAGTTTCTTATGGAGTGTACAGAATAAAACACATAGAGGACAATGTCTATATTATTTCACATAATTCAATTTTTTTTTCTTCATATTTTTCAATAGTTCCAAGTAAAATCAAGGCCACGGAGATATCAAAATCATTAAAGCCATTTTTAAAGTGTTCTACTAGAAGATCACCACAAGTTTGTACATTTTTTTAGCCGTAAAATGTATTACAGTTTTATTGTAGTCAAATACAACACGAAATACCTACTTAAAAACATTCTTGACTTTCTCTTAAACAAAACAATGCGTTATTTGCGTCAACTGGCTCCCTACCAAATATTTAAGATATTATTTTAAGTTTTAACCTAATTTTGAAGCAAAGATAGTCCCTTCTGGTCGGTACACGTGAACGATTCGTTTTATTAGTACATATTTATTGTGAGAAAAACATTAATAAATCCACACATGCACCATGACATTCGATAAGTGAGTAAACTTATAATTCAATTTTATGATTGAACTATATAGTTTTAGCATGAATTTTTTTTTCTGGAGAAGCACAAAAATGTCGTTATAAAATTTTTGTTTTTAAATATTTCTCTGTTTCGAGAAATTCTCAGATAAATCTGTCAACAGATTAAATATATTAAAATGCTTGTTTCTTTGCATAGATGGGTGAGCGAACACACGACCCGCTTGATTTTAAATGGTTACCCGAGTCCGTAGATAGTACTATTTTTTTCCTGCCTATTCTAGTGACCTCGAAGGGTCATACTAGATTCATCGGGCGAGTAGGTGAGCTCATGGAGCTCTAGCCTGGCGTTTGCTAACACTAGCCCTAGTAAGAGCAGTTCTCGCTGAATCTACCACGGGATCGGAATCGCGACTCACTGAGAAGATCCGGCGAGAAATCCAGTGGGCTGTGCCTATGGGTTAGTTAGTGGCTCGTCGAACTCTTTGTTGCAATCGTTGAATCCGACGAGGATGGAACGCTGGTAGTCGCATTGTTTGATACGATTACACCGGGACGACTTTAAAATTAGGACTCGGATCGCTAACTTTTTTTTTTAAACGGAATATCTTCCACTGAGCGTGTGATATTGCTCGGTAGACCGACAGTCCGAATGTTGTTATTCAGAACTTGTATATATGCAAGCTCATCTTGAAAATGTCGTAAGCGAAATTCAGGCATCTATCAAATATCTTGTGTTCTGTGACGGCTACCGGCACACTATATCTCAAATAAAACTTATTTATTTCATTATTTCGATATGAGAGCTCCGTCTTTCCTTGTTTATCATTCAAAAATAAACCAATTGAAATCGATTCAACGATCTGGCCCATATTCAACCTATTTTCACAACATTTTGCCCTTTGACATTGAAGCTAATCCCAAAATATAGAATATCAAAGCCATAAAACAAACGCCCGTCTTAGAAAATGCGTTCCTAAGAGATCTCGTTAGACACCCGAGGAGCTCACAAAGGGCCGTGTATCGCCCTTTGCCCTAACAGTATTATTTCATTGAAACACGACCCGCGGTAAATATCACTTGTTCATCCTTTATAATGGACGGTTTACTTGCCTTATGGTTCTTAAGGGGAATAGTTTTGCGGTATAAGACGTTTGAAATTCGGTTTTTATTTTAACGTCGTTCGAGCGTCACCGCACGCGTGACAGAGCGACTGTGAGACAATTGGATAGCAAACTTTCACATATTTTTTTTGTATTGCTTAGATGGGTGGACGAGCTCACGGCCAACCTGGTGTTAAGTGGTTACTGGAACCCATGGACATCTACAACGTAAATGCGCCACCCACCTTGAGATATAAGTCCTAAGATCTCAGTATAGTTACAACGACTGCCCCACCCTTCAAACCGAAATGCATTACTGCTTCATAGCAGAAATAGGCAGGGTGGTGGCACCTACCCGCGCGGACTCACGAGAGGCTCTACCACCAATAATAATAATTAAATAACAATAATTACATAGTCTCATTTCTAGTTTGGCTTAAATCTAATGCTCACTTACCATCCATACAAATATATCTAGGTGTGGTCGTGTTAGAATTTGTTGATCCAACGGTGTCTTTGGTCTAAATGATCGTAGATCCGTGTGCTTGTACGTGTGTGATAGGGTAAAAGTTAACTCAATTTCGTGTGCAGTTGGAACAGCGCCCTTAGCGGCAAACGTAGGCAAACGTGCCATTTTTTTTTCCTATCTAACCTGATAGGCTTGAGAGGCTATATCAGCGTCGCCTTAACTAGTAGGTGACGGGGCTCAAACCTAATGACGTTGCTAACACGAACCCTAGCAAGAGCCGTGCTTCGTAGAATCTACCAGTGGATTGGAAACGCGACCCACTGAGAAGATCCGGCGAAAAACTCAGTGGGCTGTGTCTGAGGGTTAATTTACTCGTCGAGCCCTTCGTCGCAAGCGACGGGTTCGATGAGAACGATGACCGGGAACGTTCCAACTCCATACAAATCTGAGTTAACTTTTACGCTATCGAGAACGTTAAAAAAAATCGCACTAAGCACAGTGAGATCCGGTTACTTCGTATCGTGAATACGTTTGCTAATTAAGATATGTTTTCAGAGGAGAACACTTCCGTCTTGCGCTCGTGTGCGTGGTGCTGTCATGGTGCGCGTCCGCGTGGGCCGCTCCCGCCCAGCTGTGCGCCGCCGCTGCGGAGAACGATCCCAGGGCCACACGTTTCTGCCAGGCTCTGAACACGTTCATCGAACTTTACGCTGAGGCTGCTGGGGAACAGGTCCCGGAATACCAAGGTAGTTTTTTGTGTGTTTTTTTGTGCAGCCTTTGTAGCCCTTCTTCTTTTTCTCCACCTTATCCCACTAGGTGGGGTCGGCACAGCTAATTTTTCTCTTCCATTCTCTTCTATCAGCCGTGATCTCAACACTCACTCCTCTCTTTCTCATATCATCATTCACACACTCCATCCATGTCTTATTGGTTCGACCTCTTGCCCTCTACCTTGCACTACCATTTCCATATATCTCCTTTGTAGCCCGACGAGCAGAAGCTTGATGATGAGTGGTTATCGTCGCTCAAGGACACAACCAGGTCATACAAAGGTGGCTGTGGGTTATCAAACCAATTAAGACCGTGTGGGCAGTGTGTTCGTTCACTTATGGACAAAATAAATAAATAAAACCAGAACAGCACGCTCATCTGTATCTTGTATAACTCCAACAAAAACCTAATCACTAAATAGTACCTAACAACAAATAGTGAAGCAAATACTACAATAAATTCAAAATTTGTATGATGTCTTAGTCAATTGACAGCCAGTTAATGATTAACGTTGACCGTGTCACAGCGCTGATCCGCGACTACCCGCAACTCCTGGACACCGGCATGAAGAGGCAGGACGTCGTGCACTCCTTCCTCCGTTTCGGTCGTCGCCGCTGATCTGTGAGGTCGCAGCGATCCCGCTACTAAACTACAACAATGAGGCTTAACATACTTTGCAGATTACAATATTAATTTTAGTCTTTACTTTGTTTCGTCCAAAACATAATAAAAAGTTCCTTTTTTTAATTAATAAGGGTTATGGGTGTTTGTATGTTTAAGGTATCTGTGCACTGCGAATTATAAAAAAAAAAACAACATCACTCTTAAGTGAGACGTCTCTTACACCGGACGTCTCGTACCTCTCTCTCTCCCAAATTTTAATAGAATAATATTAGTGAATATAATATGTACTTACTTATTGCTAAAGTATTAATAGTTATAAGTATTTTAATAATACTAACGATCTTGTTGTCAACATTTTTGTGGCTCTTCATTTGACAGATACATGTAATAAGACTATTTAAATATTAATATTACGATGTTTTAAATAAATAAATACGTATTTATGAGAAGCTTTGAGGTTTATTTATTTCATAATTTTACTACAAGCCAACGCTTTAACAAAAATAACCAACAAACGTAAGTCCGCCAAGTATGTATACCTACTATCCACGCCATCATTTTTTAGAACATATCAACCATCAGGCACAATATAATGTTATAATTGAGGCCTATAAAATCAAAGGCAGCTAAACGCCATAATGTCGTAAAGTGTATTAACAATGGCTCTATCTTGTTTAGTTAGTTGAACATGCTTTAGTGTTTTCATGTTATAACAAATGCAGCTAAATCTCTAACAAATTCAGTTCAAAAAAGTTAAGTTTACTCTGTATTAAGTACTAATAAACGAAGTTTTATCATTTAAAATTCAGATTATTAGTAATATTCTCATTCTTTATAAATCTGTTTTAAAATAAANTGGCTCTATCTTGTTTAGTTAGTTGAACATGCTTTAGTGTTTTCATGTTATAACAAATGCAGCTAAATCTCTAACAAATTCAGTTCAAAAAAGTTAAGTTTACTCTGTATTAAGTACTAATAAACGAAGTTTTATCATTTAAAATTCAGATTATTAGTAATATTCTCATTCTTTATAAATCTGTTTTAAAATAAAGAATATCATAGCTATACGAACAAAGTTATTTCAGATTCTCAAACCGGGAGTGTTGCTAACACTGGTCCTAGCAAGAGCAGTACTTCGGAGGATCCGTAATGACGTGTTTAGGGCCGATTTTTGTAGTTTACCTGAATATTTGACAGACTTGGATATAGCTGCCTTTGATTTTATAGGCCTCAATTGTGTAAATATATATATGAACCTTCTGGTTTTAACATTACTCCATTTTGACAGACATAACAAGGTTTCAATTGTCTAGTGAATTGGAATTGACTTGTGCTTTGCTGGCTAGTTATAGTATTTTTTTTTTCAATGTAGGTGTTCCAAATAAATACATACGTAATTTATTAAATTGATACCTACCTCGGGTTAAAACTACGAGTATGCTGGAGTATCTTCTATTAGCACACAAACGCATTTCTGACCGTATCTGAATTCGCGTTTTGTCAACGATTAATCTCGATTAAATAATAGGTCTTTGGGTCTGCGGAGGGACTTCGGTTCCCTCTGTATTTTGTACCGCATGTTCCATGGGGAGTGCTCTGAGGAATTGTTCGAGATGATACCAACGTCTCGTTTTTACCATCGCACCGCCCGCCACCGGAGTAGAGTTCATCCGTACTACCTGGAGCCACTGCGGTCATCCACAGTGCGTTTCCAGAAATCTTTTTTGCCACGTACCATCCGGCTATGGAATGAGCTCCCCTCCACGGTGTTTCCCGAGCGCTATGACATGTCCTTCTTCAAACGAGGCTTGTGGAGAGTATTAAGCGGTAGGCAGCGGCTTGGCTCTGCCCCTGGCATTGCTGAAGTCCANGTACCATCCGGCTATGGAATGAGCTCCCCTCCACGGTGTTTCCCGAGCGCTATGACATGTCCTTCTTCAAACGAGGCTTGTGGAGAGTATTAAGCGGTAGGCAGCGGCTTGGCTCTGCCCCTGGCATTGCTGAAGTCCATGGGCGACGGTAACCACTCACCATCAGGTGGGCCGTATGCTCGTCTGCCTACAAAGGCAATAAAAAAAAGGTCTTGTAATTTAATAGGTTATATATGAACTTGTAGTTTTACAATACTGGCCATTTGAATCGTACCTAATTTATATATGGCAATAAATTCTAAATCCAAATGATGATTCAAATTCAGTACATTACTTTTTTATGTTACGTTTTTTGTTTTTTTTACTACATTTGTATCTTTTTGCATCAACATGGACACGACAAAAATAAGAGTAATTATAGATTATGAGTTCCGTCGAGGTAGCAAAGACGCACAAACAACTCACAACAGTAATGACATGTTTTTTTTAACCGGATTGTCACTTGCAAATTTTTTTTTTATTGCTTAGATGGGTGGACGAACTCACAGCCCACCTGATGTTAAGTGGCTACTGGAGCCCATGGACATCTACGACGTAAATGCGCCACCCACCTTGAGATATAAGTTGTAAGATCTCAGTATAGTTACAACGGCTGCCCCACCCTTCAAACCGAAACGCATTACTGCTTCACGGCAGAAATAGGCAGGGCGGTGGTACCTACCCGCGCGGACTCACAAGAGGTCCTACCACCAGTAATTACGCAAATTATAATTTTTGCGGGTTTCACTTTTATTACACGATGTTATTCCTTCACCGTGGAAGTCAATCGTGAACATTTGTTGAGTACGTAATTCATTAGAAAAATTGTCATCATGTTGGTTAGATTCGGGTTCAAAACCTAGGCTAATGACTCCAAATGTAAAATTTACTCTGGTCACTGTTTGGTGGTTTAGAATTGGTATAATTCATCACAACTTCTTACCAAGTGGAACCGGCATTGTGCAGTATACACACTCTGGACACAATGATGGAGAAGCTCGCGAATATCTGAATATTGGTTAATCGCTCGTATACGTTGCTCATACACGACAACGCTCGACAAAGCACGACAGACGGTCTCGAAGCTACAAAAGCTTGGGTTGGAAGCTGTTGTGACAGCTAAAGCTTGAACAATTTCTATGCAGGAAAAAATTCAATACCCGAGCGGTAAAAATATCTTTGAAGGGTTTGTTGATTCTCGTAGACATTACTTCTGCAAATAAAGCATTGAAATATTACCATTTCGCTGGCGATGAGATGCATCGATACCATGGGCTTTAATTCCTACCTATGCTGATAGCCTTGAGAGGCTATATCAGCTTCGCCCTAACGTGTAGGTGAGCTCACGGGGCTCAAACCGGAGTGGTGCTAATACTGGTCCTAGCAAAAGCAGTGCTTCGCAGAATCTAACACCGGATCGGAAACGCGACCCACTGAGAAGATCCGGCGAGAAACTCAGTGGGCTGCGTCTGTGGGTTAATTCGCTCGTCGAGCGCTTCGTCGCAAGCGGCGGGTTCGACGAGGACGGTGACCGGAACCATGGGATGTATGATAGATAATACCATAATGAATTTCTGTATACTAAACGGCAATGTCGTAGGTAAAGACCTAATATAACATTTTAATCGCGTTTTGCATTGTTGAAGGTTACAAATCATATTATGACAAAACTTATGTCGTCAAGAGGCTATATTCATTGTTACACACATGAAATTCCATTATTTAATATCGTAAAATGTTTGAGATCAGCTGCGAACAGGTCTTAGGTTCGCGTCATAAAACTGAGATCGAAGGATACTTAAATTACAACGACAATATCTTTATTATTAGATCGCAAAGTTTGTACCTGTCTAAATTCTCAACGGCAACATTTTGAATTTTGACTGAAGAACGTAAATATAAATAGAATTAATTTAACTGTGTAATCTCGCGGTTTTTTTGTCATTTTATTATTTCTGAATACTTTTCAGGTTTCGCGGGCGGTTTTAAACACATACAACATTTTTACAAAGTACTTATCTACTAACCACGGATTTTTTTGTTTCAAAATTTACGTCAACATTATGTCAATGAGTCACGAAAATCTAAAAGTATACGTTCAAAGTCATCGTGGCCTAAAGGATAAGACGTCCGGTGCATTCGTATCGAGCGATGCAACGGTGTTCGAATCCCGCAGGCGGGTACCCACTTTTCTAATGAAATACGTATTTAACAAATGTACACGATTGACTTCCACGGTGAAGGAATAACTCGTGAAATAAAAATCAAACCCGCAAAATTATAACTTGCGTAATTACTGGTAGTAGAACCTCTTGTGAGTCCACATGGGTTGGTACCACCGCGCCGCCCATTTCTGCCGTGAAACAGTAATGCGGTTTGAAAGGGGGGGCAGCCGTTGTAACTATACTGAGATCTTAGAACTTATATCTCAAGATGGGTGGCGCATTTACGTTGTAGATGTCTATGGGGTCCAGTAACCACTTAACACCAGGTGAGCTGTGAGCTCGTCCACCCATCCCAGCAATTTATATATACAGATCTGTTTAATAAAATGTAACCAATGTTTTTATAATTCAAAAACTAGGAAATAAATTTAAAAAATTAATTTAATTTTATAACAAGACGATTGACACAATGTGCAAAAGTTAGGCGAATTTTTTTTTTTTTTTTTTTTTTTTTTTTAGATTGAAAGATTACTGGTGGCCCGAAGGCCTTTCCAGTTTCACCAGGACAGGTGGGCGAGCAAAGGCTCAGCCAAGAGGGGTGGGATTTGCTAACAACTGCCCGAGCGCCTCCGAAGGAGACCTAACAACTCAAGAGCAAGAGCAATGTGCAAAGGTTATTGGATCTGATGGATCCGTAAGGGCGTGTCTAGGGCGTCGACGGTGACTGGCTCCTGCATGATCAGGATTCGGGGAGTAGTCAGCGGCGGCAACGATAAGGCGATTATCATGACGCATAGCCTTATCGAAGTATCGTTCCGACGCTGACTTCATGTATTTCCGAATTGATTCGAGGCCCAGGTCGTCGTGNGGTATTTCTCGCTTAAGAATTCCGCGAGCAGTGTGTTGGTTGGAGAAAACTCCATTTCTTCGGACTGCCCAGGGGGGGCTGCCCCGGGACTTAAACACGCGCTCGCCTTGCGGCGAGGCCCCTGCGTCGGTAACACTAAATTGGCCGAAGCGATTCTAGGAATTTTAGAAATTTTAGTGAATAGAATAAATAGAATAGAATTAGAGTTAATAGAACCACTGCACAGTTTCCGGGCGGCAATGCCTTGTAATTAGGCGCAGGTACAAATTCCGAAAAACACTTGGGCCACAGATGTGCCACGAACAATGATCTATTATCACCGGTAGTCACTTCCGACAAAACACTTGGACGCCAGATGTGCCACGAACCGAGGTCGGGCAATCGAACGAACAATGAGCACGTCCACGCGCGTCGGTAGCTCAAATCGGAATGCGAAATTAATTACGAACTGTACAAATCATTATAAATGTCATGCTACAAAAATATGTATGACGTGTTAAATCTACGCATTATCTGGGCGAATACCCGTGTTATGCGAGGGACTGAAATCGCGTAATAAGAAAACGCGTTATAAGAGAACCGTGCTATAAGGGGAATTACTGTACTTAAGTTATTGTGGTAGTCTTGCGGAAGGGCAGGTGGTTAGTACCATCCTCTGCCACAAAACAACTATAGTTTCAGATTTGAAAATTTTGGCTCCGTCAGCGCGTCTACACATCTAGAAGCTCCACTTCTGTTACTATAAAGATTTTTTAATGTAAAAAAGAAGCAAAGAGACATAGTTCACAATTATTTATTGATTTGATTCAATTTTAATAACAAATAAGTACACTTCCAAATATAAAATACATCATATAAACTTGAAACTCATTTTACCCACAAAATTGTATTCATTGAAGTACATACAAAAAGAAAATAAATAATTATCAGTAGAAAAAATTAGAAATAAGGCAAATAAAGTTATTTGTTGGCAACATAAAGATAATCTTGCCAGACTTCATCATTTTTCCCCTATAACCATACTTACAATTTCGTGCATATAACGAGTTAGTTGTGTGGCGGGTAGCCATCATACAACGCAAGATAATTGACAGATGCCTGAATCTCGCTAACGACATTTTCAAGATAAAGCGCATATATACAAGTTCCGAACAACAACATTCGGACCGTCGGTCTACCGAGCAATATCACCCGCTCGGTGGAAGATCTTCCCTCCGTCGTTTAAGCCTCCCCAAAGTTGCACATTCAAATACATAATTAAAATTTAATAATTAAATCGACAAGGGTAAAGTTTTCATATAAAAGTACACAAAATGATCTGTCACCGACAGTGTATATAACTTAAGACTTAGATATTAATACGAATATATCCTTTTAAACTAGACTTAAACGCATCAAATAAGGTTAACGCAATTCAACATTGATTCTCTTTTTTTCCGCTAACGCATTTTAATAAGTCGGTTTCATTCAATAATAAGTAGGTTTCGGTCGGCATCATTATATCATCAAAAATTTCTCAATTTCTTGCTCTCAATTCATATCATAAAAATCATTGATCAAATATCAACTATTGAATTAACTAATGATAACGGACGCTCATGGGTTTATAATGTTTGTTAAAGCTTAAAAAAAAGATAATAATATGGTGAACAATATAAATATGGAAACTTGGGATTTTTTAAAAATCTGTCCTCTTTCATCAGTCTCTCAGACCGTAAGTTAATTTTATTTTCCGAATATAAAATTTAGTACTGAATACAAAATATTGTTACGCCGGTAATAGTAACGCCACCTATAGCCGAATAGCCGAATGAATATCGAAGGATCTATTAACATCTAGAACGCTGGTGACGTACAACGCCATCTATTGTCAGATAGCGAAGGTACTCGACTTGTGAGGAATGTTCTCGACGACTCTAGGGATGTCGTATCGACTATAAAAGCGTTGCAGAGATGGCACGCAGTTAGTAATCGGAACTACTCGAAGCGAAACAGCTAACGGATCACTTGAAGCGAAGCGGAAAAAGCGAATTAAGAATTTTAAGGTGTTCTGTGAGTGTTATAAGTGCTAATACAGTTTATAATTTATATTTAATCTTATCCCGAACCCAAATTAATGAAATAAAATTAATTATTAATCAAAATTTACCAAACATTATAAATCGAATCGAGAAACTATTTTTAAATTAATTCTAAAATGCGTTTAAATCTAATTTACGATTTAAAATAAACGATAGTTGCTATCGCAGATGGAGAGATGATTTAGGCAAGAGTATAAATATACACTAATAAGGACAAAATTCATATAAAAAAACTCAAATCAGTCTCACACTTTTAATTAAGCATTAGAAAGTCATTTGTCATGATGATTCACCTGTATTAACGGGATAGCTTTAATTTGATTTAAAAGTTATTTTAAAGTTTAAAACCAAACTATATATCATCTTTTTCTCATTTTTTATATTGATTTTTTTATTATTTTTTTATTGCTTAGTTGGGTGAACGAGCTCACGGCCCACCCGATGTCAAGTGGTTACCGGAGGCCATAGACATCTACAAAGTAAATGCCGACACCCACCTTGAGATATGTGTTCTCTAAGGTCTCAGTATAGTTACAACGGCTGCCCCGCCCTTCAAACCGAAACGCATTACTGCTTCACGGCAGAAGTAGGCAGGGTGGTCGTACCTACCCGTGCAGACTCACAATACATCCTACCACCAGTAAGTAACAACAGCTGTATCAGTAAATAATTATCTACAAAGCTATATCTAATAAATATACTTAACAATTAAACTTAAATAGAACACGCTGTACATACACGAGTAAGTAAGGACAGGAACAAAGTTGACACATCTTGCGGTAGTAATATTTAATATTAATTACTTAGGTTAATTATTAGTCTAGTTGATCAATTTAGGCCGATAAAATTTTGCGAGCCCTTACCGAGTATACTGAATATGATATTTTACTTTTGATATATTATTACATATAAATAATTGATTTGTATTTATATCAGTATGTTATCTGTACTACGTCGCCGCCAACGGATAGAAGACATTGCCCCTGCGAAAACATAAATTTATCAATTTAATAATAAGGCTAAGATTGAATTTGATTATTTATAAGTAGACTAAATGATATTTTTTTCTTCTACCTATGCTGATAGCTTAGAGAGGCTGTATCAGCTTCGCCCTAACATGTAGGTGAGCTCACGGGGCTCAAACCGGAGTGATGCTAACACTGGCCCTAGCAGGAGTCGTGCTTCGCAGAATCTACCACCGGATCGGAAACGCGACCCACTGAGAAGATCCGGCGAGAAACTCATTGGGCTGTGTCTGTGGGTTAATTCGCTCGACGAGCCTTTCGACGCAAGCGACGGGTTCGTCAAGGACGGTGACCGGTGCTTGTGGTGCCTAAAAGCACCGTTAATGGATCGGGAGGATCCGTAATGACGTGAAATGTTATAAGGCAAAATACTGCGATCAACGCATCTATATTGATTGTCGATGCGAACTAATCAGTAGAAAGTCCTTTGTTACGCTGTCAACGTATGGTCTTCATTTAAATTATAAAATATATAGTTCTTACTGGCTAAGCTGTTTCTAATTATGCACGTCCTAATAATACTCAATAATTTACATTAACTTCTAAAAACAACCATATTTGCCAAAACAACAGGGAATTATTTATTATGTTTTTTCTAGAGTGCTACAAATGGGTAAACGGTTTTCAATTTAGTTTTTAATAATTAATTTTAGGAAACAAAAACATTTTTATATGACATTATTCTATGGGCTAAACTAGAACTAATATTTTTTGTTTGAAGGTAATACTTTTTTATTACTGTCTACTATTACTCTAAATAATGAGTTTTGAAGTCTAACAAGAAATTTGGAAATTTTATTTATAACGGTTTTTTTTTCTACCTAAGCTGATAGCCTTGAAAGGCTATATCAGCGTAACCTTAACTAGTAGGTGAGCTCACGGGGCTCAAACCTGACGACGTTGCTAACACGGACCCTAGCAAGAGCCGTGCTTCGCAGAATCTACCACCGGATCGGAAACGCGACCCACTGAGAAGGTCCGGCGAGAAACTCAGTGGGCTGTGTCTATGGGATATAACGGTACATTTGAGTACAAAAAGGCAAAAAATACATCTAAAATAAGAACAAGTACATTCAAACATCGAATCATCTAATAAAGTGAGAGCGAGGATCGAACCTGGACCCGGCGATACGACCTGGATCCTTATCTTTCATTTAGTAGCAGCAGGTCGCGCAACACCACGACCGTTGGCACCTGTTGTGTCAATTCCTTGTACTGTGTCCCCTACACAGTCGACTTTTGAATGTACTCGTTCTTATGTTAGACGTAATTTGGGCCGTTTGTACTCAGCTGTACCGTTATAAATAACATTTATAACATTTCAAAATAGAGAGTAATAAAAAAAAAACAAAAATATTAGTTCTAGTTTTGCCCATAGAATAATGTCATACAAAAATGTTTTTGTTTCCTAAAATTAATAATAAAAAACTATATTGAAAACCGTTTACCCATTTCTAGCGGCTCGCTACCCATTACCGCACGGGGGATCCCCCGGGGGACACCGTGTACTGCACGGGGGAATCCCCGGCGACGCCCAGTACAGCCGCGATCGTTACCTGGTTCTTGTGGGCGTTGTCTTGTAGCATCAGCTGCGTGAGGTAGAAAGACGTGAGGGCGTTCCCGCCCAGCGCCGCCGTGTGGGCGCGCGCGATCGCCAGCACCTGCGCGTCAACAGATCTACTCAATGTGCACGTGTCGTACTGTTATATGGAACTGAGAAGAGGAATTTTTAATACGCTTTTATTAGCTTCAGACGTATGTATGTTGGTATGTAACGGAATCTTTGAACATGATTTTGACCCCCTTCAAAACGTCAGATTAACTCGAAATTTGGTATACTTTAAATTTTTAAAAAATTGAAGTTCAACTAAAAAATAAATAATAGTTAAAAAAAACTAACAAAATACGGTTTTATAGAAAATCCAAACCATGCACCCTACGCTTTTTTACAAAAATTTTTTTTCTTACACTATTTTTAATTCAAATTTATTATAAGGGCACCGCACCGGAGTGAAACACAACAACCACAATACCGTCTTTACCATAAGGGCACACGGGGCCCGTGCCCAGGGCCCCCATTCTCAGGGGCCCCCGAAGAACCGACAATTTAGTTACCAATTGTAGTCGAGAGCGGTCATTTTCGCAGCTTAAGAGAATAAAAAATGAATTGCGAACAACAATGTTACAATAACGGCTGAGTAATTTGTCAATTATAGGCATATAAAGTGATATCCTTCAAAAAATTGACTTTAAAGATATAATGGAATATTTTGCTCAACAGAAATCCCGAAAGAAACCATTATCGTAATCGTAACCAAAAAACCAGCAGCATTCTAATATAATTAATATTATTATATCATACTGTATTTGATTACCTATAATAAATGGTCATACTCAGTAAAAAAATGTTAATATAATTTCCTTTTTTTACTTTCCAAAAGGGCCTGACATTCTTGTGTGCCCACGGGCCCCAGCCTAGTTTAAGACGTCCCTGAACAACCACACAACTAAATGCTATTTTATATTAATGCATGCTAAGATAGGAGAAGATCGTGGGCCGCGCTTGCCTAGTGTCGTTAGGTTGAAATAGTTAATTAGTGCATAAGTGGCTCGCATCATTAATCTGTTTGTTAATTTTAAGTTATTAAACTTAAAGTCTTGAATAAACGTTCTATTGTGTTTCAATTCAAGTTCCAATAAAACATAAAAGCCATAAGACGACTCAGGAACGTACGTTATGTAAGATAATTGATATTATGAAGTGAAAAATTAAAAGAAGTGAAAAATGATATTATGAAATGAAATGAGATGAGATGATATGGGATGAAATATAATCTCAGTAAAGTGGTGGTCATTTACTGAGACCTTTTCAGTGGGATTTTTGGGAGGATCTCGAGAAGCTACGTCCAGCGGCTTTGTTTCATTTTCCCACATTTGTGCACTTTCATAGACACTAAACAGTTAATAAACCAACGTTATTGCACATTTAAACCGGAAGAAACACTGAATAGACAAAATAAAACAAATCACACAATTCCACTCCTCGCTTTCCCGCCAAAAGGTCCCCCTTTCAGCACTTCATGTGTTGTGCACTCGTACACAGGCAGAGGGGCCTTAACTCATTCAGCCAAGTCCCAACATGTCTAAGCTTGTCATAGATAAAGTTGTATAATATTAAAATGAGCTTACTTCACAAGTGAACGTATGTAAGAATCCACTGAGGCCTCCCATCTCCCGGACCGTCGTGGTCTCCCTGACGAACAGTAAACGGATCGCGCATATCCGTCGCACGGCGCGACTCCCGCTAACGTCGCTTAGCGTTGTCAATGACACTGTCGTTGGGATCTGCATTTAAAGTTATACATTTTTTTTTTGTGAAAACAAACATACATTTATTAGTGATGGTAGGACGTCTTGTGTGCTCACACGCGTAAATACCACCACTCCGTCTATTTCTGCCGTGAAGCAGTAATGCGTTCGGCTTGAAGAGCGGGGCAGTCGTTGTACTTTAAAAACTGAGACATTAGAACTCATATCTTAAGGTGGAATTTACATTGAAGATGTTTATGGGTTCCGGTATCTAGTTCAAACCAGGTAAGTCGTGAGCTCGTCCACACGTCTAATTAATTTAAAAAAACATATATATTGTAGACAGGGCTGGCAGTTACCCTCACTTATGGCCGTCAGCAATGACCAGGGGCAGAGCCAAGCCGCTGCCTTTACTGAGTATCCTCCAACCCTCGTTTGAAGAAGGACATGTCATAGAGCTCGGGAAACATTCTGGAGGAGAAATCGCTATAGGGGCGGACGCTGTGGATGGACGAACTCTGCTGTTTTTTTTTTCCACAGGAGAAAATCGCCGGAACCCCACCCGTACGGCAGGTGGGGTATGTGGGAGTCGAACCTCACTAAAAATTCCTGCCGATCACAGTCGGCGCCCTACCCCGGACCGGGTGGGAGTTCAGTCGGAGCTATTGAGACGACGGAACAGGGTTTACGCAGAGCATATTACTGTATGCGCGCGAGTTCATGTCCATCGGGGCCAGAGACGACGCGCGGGGGACAGCTCGCCCCCACCTCCGACCGCCCCCCGCATTTGTCTGACGTCGAGTGTTGTCCTTGACGGTTGTGACGCGCGCTTATCGATATCGAAAATTTACGCTAACGCTATTGTGTTATTTAACCATGACTACTCCGCTTCCAACAAGTTCAGATAGAAAAAAAACCTACTGAAAAAAGATACATACTGATTCCGACTCTGATCTGTCGGTTGTCTTTTCTTTTGATAGTGATTGAATTGGAATTTAAAAAATATTTTTCTCTATTAGAAATAAACAAGTAATTACTTATCACATTTATTTCGATTCATAAATTGCAAAACTACCTTAAGTTACATTAAACTAAATTGACAGCTGTTGACTAAATCGGTAGTTATTATCGACATTACCATAATTAACTAGGTCACAGCACCATCGCATTCCTCAGGATGGACATGAACTCGCGCGCCTACAGTACATCCATCCCGCCGAACTCTGCTATGTAGGCGAGTATGGGCGGGGTCCCGGCGCGCACCTGTCCCACAAGGTTCCTGTCGTCGTCGTGCGCGGGTCCGTTCCGGAGGAGCTGCTCCTCGTCGAGCGCGAAGATGTCGTCGTCGCGCTGGTCGCGGGGCGCGGCGCCGGGCTCCGGCAGCGGGATGGCGGTGCCCGACACCACCAGCTGGATCTCGTCCTGGGGAAGCCGAGACCATAGTTATTAAATCGGATTAAAGTTTGTACAACTTTACGGGACCGACAATGATTGTGCGTTTTTTCGTTGCTGCACGTCATTTTTTTTTTTAAAGTCCACGCCTTCCCCCCGCTTCCGCCGCGATGAGGAAAATAGGGTTACTGTGTTTCGAACAATGTTCTTTAATGAATATAATTGAATGGCATCTACCGTCCAATCCAGGGGTAGGCAACGCGGCGCCCTCGATCGATTTTTAACGACCCCTCGCTGGACAGAGCGATTTACTTATTCTTGTCAAACGGCGATATACAGCAAGTAGTCAGTTGAGTTTAGGATAGCAGTTTGCTAACCTTGAGCGTATCTAATAACACGCACGTATTTTTTGTTAATGTGTGATCGTATTTCGAATAGACCACACATTTTAAACTACCAAGTAATCCGAAATTTCAGTGTATTTCCAGCTTCATAATATCGAAGACCTAGAACTAGAAATAAAAAAAATACATGTGTGCAATTCACACGTGGTAGAAGTGAAACCTTCCAAAATTAAAATACAATAATCCTAAACGTCTTAAGTATATGTAAAATTTTGTCATTAGTAAATAATTGTAAGGTAGCGCCCTCTGTGAATTGATATTTTAATTTCACGTATAATCCTAAATTAAAATTCACTACAAGAGCTTTCATACACACGTTAGTATTAAAAAATCTCACAGATGGCGCTGTATTAAATAGTATGTATATTTCTGTCTCATTCTTTGCTGGCTTCATCCTACACATTTTTGTATTTGTGTCTCTTACCTGTCGGTTTTTCCGTTGCATCCGGTTTGAAATTACAACGATTCTAAAGAAGTTTTCACTTCAAAAAACTTGCAAAGTGATGTTATTTTAAAAGCGCATAGTAATGATAAAATGTTTTGGAACTTATTCGATGAAAATAAGTATCCTATTTTAAGGAAATGTGCGCTAAAAATTTATTCATATTGTGCAACAACATACAATTGCAAGTCTTTGTTCTCAAATAGATCAGACTCACATTTAGATAATTGTTTAAGGACCGGCAACTCTAAATATATCCCCAATTATAAGAAATTAACAAAAAATATGGACACCTAAGTTTCACACTGAATTATATGTATCATTATGTATAATACCAACAAAATAAAGTTAAAAATAAATCTATTTTTTTAATGCCTATTTATGCCCGTTGATTATCTGTAAAATATGCGCCCTCGGTGATTTTCAAATTTAGTATTGCGCCCTTAAGGACAAACAGGTTGCCGATCCCTGGTCCAATTTTTCCAGGAAATCTATTGTTTTATTTTCATGTATTTCAAATTAATAAAATAAATATTCACTACAAGAATCCTAATTAGTAACAAAAATCAACAAACCTCCGGCAACTCCAGTTGGAATTTCGGTATAGCCAGCGCGCAGGGGTTCAACCTCCTCAGCTTGTACGTGACTCCGTCCAGAGCCCTCGCCACGTGCCTCTCCGCCGCCTGCGACGCCGCCCCGCCCTGCCCTGACAACGTCAGTCTCGCCCTCCACACCTGATCCAATGACCGAATCCATTAATATAATAAACATTACTGGTGGTAGCACCAGTAGGTACCACCACCCTGCTTATTTCTGTCGTGAAGCAGTAATACGTTTCGGTTTGAAGGGTGGGACAGCCGTTGTAACTATACTTGAGACCTTGGAACTTATATCTCAAGATGGGTGGCGCATTTACGTTGTAGATGTCTATGGGCTCCGGTAACCACTTAACACCAGGTGGGCTGTGAGCTCGTCCAACCATTTAAGCAAAAAAAAATACCAGGCATGTTTCCCAGCTAGAGAAAATCTCCTGCAAGTTCCTTGTGAGATGATTATCTATGACAGCAAAACAGCAAAATTGTCCCACTCATAACATGATTACAGCAACTGTAGCGGCAGTGATTTGCTGTTATATGAAGTTAGTGAGCTAGTTTCTGACGTCACACTTTTTAATTATGGCAATTAGCTTCTTTTGATACCAATGTTGCCAGTGTCGAGTTTTTAACATTTTCATTAACTATTAAAATATACATGAACACATTGTTTTATGAAAAATTACTATGGAGCGGAATGAATTAAATTGGATTTATATGAAGCTGTAATCAAATGAAATGAAATAAACTAAGATCTCCTGTAAAATAATGTGTGGTTTACTGAGAATTCAGTGGACTTTTTGAGAAATCGGTGCTCGTAACAACTTTTTTTTTATTGCTTAGGTGGGTGGATATGCTCACGGCCAGGTGTTAAGTGGTTACTGGAGCCCTAGACATCTACAACGTAAATGCGCCACCCACCTTGAGATATACATTCTAAGGTCTCAGTATAGTTACAACGGCTGCCCCACCCTTCAAGCCGAAACGTGTTACTGCTTCACGGCAGCAATAGGCGGGGCGGTGGTACCTACCCGTGCAGACTCACAAGAGGTCCTACCACCAGTAAAACTACGGGTTTATAATTGATGAGTGTCCGTCGTGTGTCGCACCTGCGCGAAGGCGAGGGGGGGTGCGCGCGCGGGGGGCGGGCGGCTGTACACGCGCATGTGGCCGCGCCGGACGCACAGCGACTTGGCTGTCTCCACCTGCGACAATCACATATAGGTATAGAAAAAAAAGCAGTGAAAGGCACATCAAATTAATATATGAATTCGGGTGGCTGTATGGGTTACGTGGCCTTTGTCTAATCAATTGGATAACACAAACAATGATTCGTCTTTACCACTGAAAACCCTTATCGAGCACTTTAAAATTCTCGATTCACTTCTGCCGCTTCTCTTCAGGTAATCCGTTCGCTGTTTCGCTTCGAGTAGTTCCGGTCACTACCTGCGTGCCATCTCTGCAACCCTTTTATAGTGGATACGACATCCCTAGGTTTATCGAGAACATTCTGGGCAAGTCGAGTAGCTTCGATGTGTGTTTCTGTTATCTGACAATAGATGGCGTTGTACTTCTCGATTTTACTAGTACCTTCGATATTCGTTCGGCGATAGATGGCGTTAGTCTTACTGACTAGCCGTCGCCCGCGGCTTCGCCCGCGAAATCAAGGGAAGTGGCAGTGCAGTTTCCCGTTAAGAAATGTTTGTCCTGGACAAAATGTAATGCTTATAATTAGACTCACGTCCTCGGCCTCGTCCAGCTCCAGCACGCAGGCATCCTTGTCGGCGCACAGATCCAGCGCGGGCGGCTCCTCGCCCTCCGCCTCCGCCAGCGCGCCGCCCCCGGACATATCCGACACGCCTGCCGAACATCCTATGATTTCATCTTTGTATTGTAACGGACGTGACGTCAGCTACCATGCCCTGCCGCCAATCCACGTATTGACACGCCCCCTTCTACCCCTGCCACTAGCCAAAGCCAACGAAGGGGGGATAGTGTTAATAAAACAAGCCTTGCCAGCCATTCTTACCCGCTTTCTGCTTTCTCGCACAAATAAAAGAACTTGTCGTTACGCTGCTGGTTTTTTTTGTCGCATCATTTACAACAGTACTTAAAATGCTACCAAACAATAACATAAAAACGAACTTGTTAGAAGAAACATCTTCAACTTTGTCACAACGATTATGAGTAAAAGAAATTATTAAGACTTTTTGGCGGGAACGCGATCGTTGAGGAATGAATAATTTTTTTTTTGTTACATTAACATTAATGTCTTTTGTGTAATAATAGAGGCAGCGGTGTCAACTGTTTAGCGTCTGTAAGTGCTCGACCGTGGTCCGTTTTAGTCTTAGTAAGTTCCAAATATTTGAAACAATTAATTGTGAAATTATATTTGTTATTTGTGAAATACACTTAGATAATAATGATGACATTGACAAGCTCCTCTTCAAACGAAACTTCCGGGAAATATTTAGAGGCAGAGAGCGACCAGGCTCTATCCCTGATATTGCTATATGTCCTTACCGTAACGGCTTAAAACGCTAGATTCTAGGTCTTTAAAAAAAACACAATATTTACTATTTAAATATGGCGCTCGACTTTTTCGGGACGGGAACGCGAGGAGTGAAGTTGTGTGATTTGTTTTATTTTGTCTATTTAGTGTTTCTTCAGGTTTAAATGTGTAATAACGCTGGTTTATTAACTGTTTAGTGTCTGTGAAAGTGCACGAATGTGGGAAAATGAAAAACAAAGCCACTGATCAAATTCTCGAGATCCTCCAAAAAGTCCACTCGAAAAAGTCTCAGTAAATGACCACCATTTTACTGAGATTATATTTCATTCCATATCATCTCATCTCATTTATATAACTTCATGCAAATTGATTAAGTTTCCTTCGTTTTTTATTTTTCATAAACTGTAAATAATTAAAACGGTGAATTATAAAAGTCTTATTAGGTACCTGACGCTGGCTAATGTACAAACCGTGCCGAAGCCAAAAAATAAAGAAAAAGAAAAAAATATATGGCGCTCACCGACGTCGTATCCGTTGGCGGCCTTGTTAGCGTTGAACGCGTCCCGGAGAGCCCTCTGTATCTCAGTCGCATCCCGGTCACTTTCTGAGGCCTGGGTCACGATTCGTTGCATTACGATACAGCTCTACTTACATTGGTAAAATTAATTAGTATTGACTGTTTCATCGTCGCCATTAAGTATAGTTAATATATATATATTTTTATTTTATTGCTTAGATGGGTGGACGAGCTCACAGCCCACCTAATGTTAAGTGGTTACTGGAGCCCATGGACATCTATAACGTAAGTGCGCCACCCACCTTGAGATATAAGTTCTAAGATCTCAGTATAGTTACAACGGCTGCCCCACTCTTCAAACCGAAACGCATTACTGCTTCACGGCAGAAATAGGCAGGGCGGCGGTACCTACCCGCGCGGACTACCAAGAGGTCCTACCACTAATATATCAAATTGTCAAATTGATCAAGTGGTTTTTTAAACAAACATACAATAGGTTTATAATATATAGATTCAAGGATACCTAAAGACATGAAGCCGTCGTGGCCGTGGTGTTCGAATCCCGCAGGCGGGTACCAATTTTTCTAATGAAAATACATACTTAACAAATGTTTACGATTGACTTTTACGGTGAAGGAATAACATCGTGTAATAGAAATAAAATCTGCAAAATTATAATTTGCGTAATTACTGTTGGTGGGACGTCTTGTGAGTCTGCACGGGTGGGTAGGTACCAACGCCCTGTTTATTTCTGCCGTGAAGCAGTAATGTGTTTCGATTTGAAGGGTGGGACAGCGGTTGTAACTATACTGAGAACTTAGAATTTATATCTCAGGGTAGGTGGCGGCATTTGCGTTGTAGTTGTCTATGGGCTCCTTAGTACCAGGTGGGCTGTGAGCTCGTCCACCCATCTAAGCAATAAGAAATAAATAAAATACGAAATATAAAAATGTTTGTTTTTTGGTTAGGCCAGTTCAATTGTAAGGGTTGATCACCTTGAGCGCGGGGGGCGCGGGGGGCGGCAGCGCGCGCAGGCGGTACGCGGCCCCGCTGGCCAGCGCCACCACGCAGCGCTCGCCCACCGCCACGCGCGTGCACAGCGAGAACAGCGCGTTGGCACCCTGCGGACCACGCTCGATCAGGGGGGGGGACAAGCGGGGGACCACCCCACCAGTCCCCCCGGACCCACGGACACGCGGGGCATGCGACGTGGGTTACATTATACGAGTTGAGAAGAGTGCACTTACAACATTTGAGTGGACTGCGAAGACTCAAAAACAGACAGGGTCTTTTTTCTTTCAAGTAACATATAGAGTCGTCGACGTATGTTTTTACAGACTTCTTTTGAATTATACATTCAACAGTGTCAAAAAAATAACACTTTCTCTCAAAATTCTAACATAATTTCCATTTATTTTACATTTAAGATTTCGAAAATAAAATATTTAATGTACAATAAAAATCGTAATAAACTCTTATCGGATAGTTCAAAAGAATTAAGCGCACACAGACAGATAATTTCGTCTCAAACTTTTTCGTCTGTGTGTTGCATGTCGCGTGACGGTCGGCCGCGGAGTAGGGATAAACTAAAAGGCGCTCGTCAGAGCAGCCAAGGCCAATATGGCGGCGCCTATAGTTCGCAGCAGCTGACCGGGTAGTGTATAGACTCATTAGTGCCAGTGCTCCACGCTATTTTGTTGATTTTTGTCACTGTTTGATGTAAATGTTGTTTGTCAGAGTTAAATGTCTATAATGTGAAAAAAAGTTTCACTTTTACCGTGGTTTCATAAAACCACATCATGCTTTTTTTATTAGTAATTTCTAAAATTAATACTAGTAATGTTTGCCCAAACTCACCTGCATTCTCAGTTTGGCTAACAGCAGCTTGTGCAGCTCGTACTCTAAGAAGGGTAGCTGATCCGATATGTCCCTGGCGCCGGGCTCCGCCGTGGGGGGCGCCCTCCGCACGCGCGCCGCTGGAACACACGAGCGAGACGTGGGGTAGGCGCCCGACCTGCCCCCCTACACGTGCTCGGCACACGGTCGGGAATCACAGCGTATAATAAAAATCGAAAACGCAAAAATTTAAATTTGCGTAAATACTGGGGGTCTCGTGGTCCCGCACCGATAAGATAGGACTTTTCCATTGCTGAAGTCCATAGGTGACGGTAACCACTCATCATGATGTGCGCCGTATGCTCATCTGTCCACAAGGGCAATAAAAAAAAAGACACCACCGCGCTGCCTGATTCTGTCGCGAAGCAGTAACGCGACCCCAGATCGAAGGGTGGGACAACTGTTGTGCTATAGAAGAATCGGAGCTTAATCATGACTCAAGACGTCATCAGCATTATTGATGTCTATGGGCTCCAGCAACAACTTATATCTCAGTCGGATACTCTTGTCAGAGTGGTCGTGGTTGCGCTGACGATATATAAACAAAAGCATCCGTTAGGTTGCCCACGCACCCGAAGACCGCTCTCCAGGTAACATGGGACCTTTTTTTTTAAACCTAAGCCAGAGTAACCGGGCAAGACCCAAATAGCCCATAAGGGCTCGTTAACCCAACTGAACTATAAAACCCAACGGTGAAACGCGCCCGGCTTTACGTAAATGAATGAATGATTTATTTCAGACAACAACAACAAGTCCATATATGCACATAGCATCATTGAAACATACTTAAAATTACCAAAACAAATCAAATAAAAAATACATTATTAAAAATAATGACATATCAGTTGAATACATTTAAAATATTTATTCAACTGATACTTAAAGCTATATTCCCGATTCTGTGGACCGAATGGTAAACGGTCGACGTCGTCCTAAGCACATCATTATGGATCCTCGCGATCCATTAACGGTACTTTTACGTACTTTAAGCACCGGTCACCGTCCTCGCCGAGCCTGTCGCTTGCAAGGAAGGGCTCGACGAGTGAATTAACCCATAGACACAGCCCACTGAGTTTCTCACCGGATCTTCTCAGTGGGTCGCGTTTTCGAACCGGTGGTATATTCTGCGAAGCACTGCTCTTGATAGGACCCGTGTTAGCAACACTCCCGGTTTGAGCCCCGTGAGCTCACCTACTAGTTAAGGTTACGCTGAAATAGCCTCTTCAAGGCTATCAGCATAGGTAGGTAAAAAAAACTATATTGCAACTGTCGAACATGCCTGATTTTGCGTAAAGCTATATTGGCAGACAGCATCTTTAGCATAAATAGCTCCGGGTGCGAGGTACTCACCTACAGCGGTTAGCGTGACGGCTTTGCCGTGGGTGGGCATGGTGCTGGGCTTGGCGCACGTGGCCAGCAGCACCGACGGCACCCGGGCGCGCCTGCGGACCAGAGTACGTTGTGACCACAGCAGTGACACACGGGCTGTCCTGAGACACACGCTTCGAGCGCCATTGACACACACTTGAAAACATATTTTTAATTGCCCAGATAAGTCGATGAACACATAAATTCACTCGATGTTAAGTGGTTACCGCAGTCGATAGATATTAAAACAACGGATAATTGCTCTGTCCGCCCACCTTGAGACATTTAGACATATCGGTTTCCTAGTACAACGGCTGCCCCAACCCTTCGAACCGAAACGCATTACAGTTCCGCACCAGAAACAGACAGTGTGGTTCCTACTCGCGCGAACCTCACAAGCGCACTAACCGCCAGTAATTATTCCCATTTAATTACGCATCGATTTGTATTGTATTACACGACGTTTTCCTTTCACCATGTACGTCAATCGTGGACATTTGTCAAATATATATTTCATTTTCATTAGAAAAATTAGTTGCATACGTTTTGCGAGATTCGAACACCGGTACAGTCGCATCGATGCAAATGTATCGGGCGTCCCATCCAGTAGGCCACGGCGACTTCGCAATGAGCGTATCAATAGCCACCTACACTGGTCGTAGGACGTCTTGTGAGTCCGCACGGGTGGGTACCACCACCCTGCCTATTTCTGCCGTGAAGCAATAACGCGTTTCGGTTTGAAAGGCGGGGCAGCCGTTGTAACTATACTTGAGACCTCAGAACTTACATCTTGGGGTGGGAGGCGCATTTACGTTGTAGATGTTTATGGGCTCTATTAACTACTTAACACCAGGTGGGCTGTAAGCTCGTCCACCCGTCTAAGCAATAAAAAAGGTGACATTGAGGTCGCGTGAGGTGACCTGCACTGCGCGCACAGGGACAGCTCGGCGCGGTAGGGCCCGGAGCCGGGCGCGTAGGGCACGTGCGCCGCCGAGCACGCGTCCGCCTCCGCGCCGCCCTTCGGACCGCTCTGCGCTGCAACCACAACAAACCTTACAACGCGTGCTCATCACTTTCTTCTTCCTCTTGCTCCTAGATTTTTCCCGGTCTACCATAGTACTCTAGTAATTTAAACTCCTCCACATTTCCCGGCCTTCGGCATCATTCTGGGTAAGGACATTCTCCTCCATATTAATAAAAATAAATAAATCAGAAGCGAAGCACCGTCCTGCCTATTTCTGCCGTAATACAATCAAGAGTTCTAATTTGAAGGGCAGGACAGCCAGTATTCAGTAATTGGTAACAGCAGGATGGTTATTATCATTCGATAGGGTCGTTCTAAGGTCAAATACAGGTCTGGTGTTAAGCAGTCGGCCGAGTCACAGAGATAAGCGGGTCTATTCATTTTGAACTGTTATAATTTAGTTAGAAATGCATCAAGACACTCAGTGTCGCCGGTGGCGCGATGACTCGACACTGGCGCCATCTACTAGCCGCGAAGGCCTCACCGGTGGCGGGTGAATCTTATTATCACTAAGTTATTACTAGTCTTGTGTGAGCATATGTTACCTGGCGTCTGTTCACACTCCACGTTGTAGTCGCAGTCTAAATTGATGACGGCCGCTGTACCCGAGGCTGACAGGACGCACACATCTTCACTGAAAAAAAATAATCAAACTTAATCTCTGTTTATTCCCTGCGGTCACACGCGAGCTCCTGGTAAAGGCGATAAGAGATGGAAAAATGGATATTTAAAATGGGAACACTTCCCACATAGCTACGGTGAGGTTCGGGATAAATAAAAAGTTCCACCAAAGTACAATTCCAAACTGTATTAACACTTAGAACACTCACAGAACACTTTAGAAATTCTAAATTCACTTCTTCCGCTTCGCTTCAGGTGATCCGTTCGCTGTTTCGCTTCAAGTAGTCCCGATTACTGACTAACTGCGTGCCATCTCTACTATGCTTTTATAGTCGATACGACATCCCTAGATGAATCGAGCACATTCTGGGCAAGTCGAGTAGCTTTGATATGTGTTTCTGCTATCTGACAATAGATGGCGTTGTATTTCTCGATTTTATTAATATTCCATATTCGGCTATTCGACGATAGATAGCGTTACTCTTAGCGGCGTAAAAATACTATACTTATAGCTAGCTGTCTATGGGTTCCAGTAACTACTTAATACCAGGCGGGCTGTGAGCTCGTCTACCTATCTTAGCTAAAAAAAATAATAATACCAGTATTATCAGTAATTCCTAAATCATAAAAAAGCAGTTAGTTGGCGGCTCGTACCAGATGGCGGCGCTGTCGGAGTATGCGATGACCGCGTTGCAGCGCAGCGCGCGCGCGTGCGCCCGCAGCTCCGTGCGCAGCTCGGCCCACGCGCCCTCGCCGCCGCCCTCCGCCAGCTTCACGGAGCGGGCGCACACCGTGCCGCCTGCGGACACGCAAGCCATCTACCAACTGCCTTCCACAACACATCCATTGTGGAACGAAGTCGACAAATGTTATAATGACTCAATTATTGTTATCACGCTTCTATTAGCATGTCGGAGACAGTCATTAGTTTGATAGCTAAACGAATGATGTCTGACGATGGTGTTAATAATGTGATTTCTCCGGCAAGCATATCTATGCAACGTTGCTGGTGGTATGACGTCTTGTGAGTCCGCACGGGTAGATACCACACCCCGTCTATTTCTGCCGTGAAGCAGTAATGTGTTTCGGTTTGAAGGGTGGGGCAGCCGTTGTAACTATACTGAGCTATTAGAACTTATATCTCAAGATAGGTGACGGGATTTAAGTTGTAGATGTCTATGGGTTAAGACCAGGTGGGCTGTGAGCTCGTCCACCCATCTAAGCAATAAATAAAAAATAATATAAAATTTTAATGTCTAAAATTTGTAATACACAAGATATCCCCCGTGTTTAAGAGTACAATCCGAACAGCGCGGCCCCTCTCACCGATGTGCACAATGAAGCCAGGCGGGAACTCCGTCATGGTGAGGAAGGGATACTCCAGCATGTCCAAGTTGTTGCTGTTCATCGAAGGCCGCAAGATGGCGCCTCCTCCGCTGCCCACATTACCCGCCGATGTGTTTAACGAACCACCTATGAACATGTTGAGTCTCTATAACGGGCAAGGATTAATAGGACACGTGTTCAATTAAGTGACTAAACTAGATGATGACCGAGCTTGGCTCGTTTCTTTTTTTTATAACGCCATCTTGTTGTGTCTTTAAAGCAGTAAAAATAGTATTATTATTCGCCAATAGATGTCGGGAAGAGTCATAAAGTTGATTATCGTTAAGTTGATTATTGAAAACACGAATAAAACAACATTTTCAAACAAAACAAATCATAGCTACATCGATTTATCGCCCCCGAAATCCCCTGTATACTAAATTTTATGAAAATCGTTGGAGCCGTTTCCGAGATTCAGATTATATATGTTCGAAAGCAATCCGTTAGTTTTTGAATTTTTACCACGGCAACACGGGTCGCGATTTGACGGTGCCTTCGCGATTTTACATCTTTCACTTGGTCTTGCTTCTCGAACGGGACGGTACCTAAATATATTGACGGTCTACGCTAAAGTATTGTATCATCGCTAATCCTTATCCATTCCTGCCCTATACCCTTCTCCCTAAGTGATACGGCGTGAGAAGACGAAGTCATCGGTTCTGGTGAGTGATTGCATGATATTTTATTAAAATTGTACATACGGCGCCGCGAATCGCGGCACATGTTCGACGCGCACCTCGTGCTGGTTCCGGAGCCCTAGGCTGCCACGAGGGCGCTGGGTTCGGATCGAACAATATATATACAAGAATTTCTCGTTTAAAGGTATAAGATTATATTGGGATTAAAACCTCAGGTGCTGCAATATAATTATCGATAACACATACATATTAATTAATAGTTGCTATGGCGACATTTGTGGTCCCTAAAAACATTTCAAATCTTCATAACTTTACTATCGAGTCGAAATGAAGTTTCGCCATTGAGAAGAATCGGCTAGCGATTCAGGGATTGCTCATTTTTAAGATATACCACTTTGCGAATGCGATCGTATGTACCATTGAAATATAGAATTTATTGCGTTACATTAAGATTTGAAGTCAACAGAAACAGAGACTGATGCTATCTCGCAGGGCCGCATGCGCCATCTTTTGAAAGGTGCCAAGGGTGGTATCATACTTTTTTTTATACTAAATGAGCTGTCAAGTTAACTGAAAATAGTTTTATATGCCATGACTCAATTAAACTTAATATATTTTACTAAATTAAGAGCGCTTATTACGTTGGTTGCAATTAAGAACACCCAGTATTTTGGATTTCGTCTTTAAAAATCACTGCAAAACTGTGAAAATTATAACCGCAGTACATAAAAATGCGATCAAGGGTGCCAAAGTTCAACTTTTTTTTAATTAAGTCTACTAACGCTTTATTTAAATTAAATTAATTTTATTCCCTCTTTCTTCCAGATTTCGTATAATTCATCCTCACGCTCTTTACCACGTTATCGTTGAGTTTTAGGACACCCTGTATATTACATTTTTTTAAAACAATTAAGAATTGTGAGCCACTCCATACAGAAGAGAGCCGTTCGGATTGTCGATAATCGCATTCTCACGGATCGTTTGGAGCCTCTGGGTCTGCGGAGGGACTTCGGTTCCCTCTGTATTTTGTACCGCAAGTTCCATGGGGAGTGCTCTGACGAATTGTTCGAGATGATACCAACGTCTCGTTTTTACCATCGCACCGCCCGCCACCGGAATAGAGTTCATCCATACTACCTGGAGCCACTGCGGTCATCCACAGTACGGAGATCTTTTTTACCACGTACCATCCGGCTATGGAATGAGCTCTCCTCCACGGTGTTTCCCGAGCGCTATGACATGTCCTTCTTCAAACGAGGCTTGTGGAGAGTATTAAGCGGTAGGCAGCGGCTTGGCTCTGCCCTTGGCATTGCTGAAGTCCATGGGCGACGGTAACCACTCACCATCAGGTGGGCCGTATGCTCGTCTGCCTACAAAGGCAATAAATAAAAAAAAGGCACTCAATGGTTTTGTGCAAAAAAAGTGCTCTACAAAAAAAGAAGCATAGCGTTGTTCAACTTAGCAAGAAAAACGGGAGGCGAACCAACAGTGAAGTCCTATACAACATTAATTGATTTATTTATTTGATCAATTGTGGTATTTTAAAATTTAAAAACCACGCAGTAAAAGTTATCCAAAATTGAACTGAAAAGTGAAACTCTTTTTAAACGGTCTGTGATGGTAATACCATAGTTTTGACTCACCTTTAGGCGTAACACTGAGATCCGAATCGGACGACCTCCTGTGTATGCCCATCGGCGTGGAAGTCGCGTTCAGAGAAGGGTTCTGCAGGGCGGGCGCGGGGGCCGGGGGGTTGGGCGGGTCTCGGCCGCCATACGACTCGTGACGCGCGTGTCGAGGCGATCCCTTGTCCTTGTCGCACCTGTCCCTGTCCCGCTCGCTCCTGCCGACACCGCACACTGCATGCGAGTTACCACACACACCGACACTATCGTTATTCTCGACGCCCTCGACGTCCAGGCTCTCGGCGCGATCGAGACTGCTCTCAGGCAATGATGGGATGGTCTCTAGAGGCACACCGCTGAGTATTGGGTGGAAGTTTTGCAGCATGGGCTTTGTTATTTTATGTGGAACGTTAGCTATGTTTTCGTTTGACATTTTTAGCGATTCGGTCACCGAATGGATGCTCTCTTGCCTCGTTAGTTTTTTTGTGTTTGTCGATTTAAAGTCTTGATTAACTTCCTGCTCGTATTCTGGTTTATTAACTTGTTTTTCAATTTTTGAATCTTCGTTTTCTTTATTAATTTCGGTTTCATTTTTTTCGGTAGCATTACTTTCATTGGTAGAAGTCGCAGCAAAAGTATGTGTGGTCGTGAATTCATTTGGATTTTTAACAGGGTCGGTACTTTTACTGGGCGCACCGTTGTTTGGATCCAACAATGATTGTACTTTATCAATTAATATTGTTTCCATTGCCATTTGTACTAAACCAGGAGACTGTAATTCTTCCAACTTTTTTTCAGGCTCATCTGTTAACACATTTTTCGGTTGGTCAGTTTTATCAGATGCAGCTTTTAGAATAGCAGTTTCACAAACACTCATAGCTGCGTCTTTATTATGTATTTGGTTAATTTTAGAACCTTCATTCGTTGCAATTTCTATGGGTGCACAAATATTTTGTACTTGATCGAGTAAAATAGTTTCCAGGGCTGTATGGACCAAGCCCGTGCTGTCTCTAGTGTTGCTGTCCGTTTCCGTGTTATCATATTTATCTTTTATTTCAAACGTAAGACTTGTAGGGCTTGGTTCTGGCGTTTCGAGCAATACGCTCTGTACTGTATCCAAGAGCATGGTTTGCATAGCCGTTTGAACAAGACCAGTGCAATGCTTGGGCTTTGACTTTTCTTTTTTATTAAAGTTAGGAAAGTGTATTGATGTTTTAGGTTCAGGTGTTACCGGTCCAATTATGGATTGCGCTTTATCAAGAAGGATTGTTTCCATCGCGGTATGGATCAATCCTTTAGATTCGGAGCTTTTAGCTTTGCTGTGTCTGAAGTCGTCAAGAAATGGTTTCGTTTTTACACTATTATACACCGGTGATTCTGGTGGTAGTGATTGTGCTTTGTTGGTCTTAGGTGGAACGCTCAAATGTCCATTCGATTCCTTCAGGCTCCTTGATGACTCAACCTGTTCAAGTTTTAAGCTCACATCATTAAAAAACTGCTTTGCTTTGGAGTTAACTGGATCAGGAGAAGTGGGTATAAGTAATGAGTGGACGCGGTCAATTAGAATGGTTTCCATAGCTGTGTGCAATAAACCTGTTGGTTTCAAACTAGCTTTTTCTTTTTTATTAATATTGGGGTGGTCCAAATCATCTCTGTGTTGAGGTGAGGAGGGACCACTGAAAGAACATCTAGACTCAGGTTCCGAACCAATGTACATGGATACTTTTTTTGGATCGAAATCATCGCTTTTGCACATGGCTTTTTGTGTAGCTATTGACACTTTGTCAAGGCTCATCAGGTCAGAGTATGACAGAAAAGGGGATCCTAAAACAGTGTCGCCGGTGCTTACTTTTGATGTTATGTTGGACGAGGAACCAGGGTGGCTGAGGGTGACCTTCTCGTCCTTTTTCTTTGGTAACAGAGAATAATGAGATAAGCTTTTAATCATGCTGCTTTTGGAAATTTTAGAGAGTTGCCGTTTAATTTTTTTTGAAGAGCGATTTACAAAGCTGTTCTTTTCAGTTGGGGAAGAAGGAGCGCTAATACTTTTGGAAGCCTTTTTATGAGCAAACGGATTATGTAGTTTAATGTAGTGAGTGTTCGGTTTCATTACAGACGTATTTAAGTCTCTAGCAGACGTTGAAGCTTCATGTTTAATTGGAACTTTGACTTCACTTTTCATTTCAAAAGGTACTGATTCCAATGATATGCTTTTCATACTCAAATCTTGGTTTCTTTTTTCTTCACCATCTGAAGTTTCATTTTCCAGTATGCTCAGTTTTCTACCCATCTGTGCTATTATGGCTGGATTGACCTCATGGTTGAGTACAGAGCGTACAACGGAGCTGGTTGTTTCAATCGATCTCTCATTATCAGTTTTCAGATCTGAACTTTCATCATCTTCATCAGAACTCGAGTAAATATCGGAACTCTCCCCAGATAGTGCAGAAGATACCGAATCAAAATATTCCGGATCTCCGGGTAATTTCAGGAGATTCTCTGTTCTTTCAGCAACAGGCGAAGTAGGACAAGATTCCGATATTTTTCTTACTCTAGTCGGTTCAATTTCTTCACTGGTAATATTTGTCAGTGACGTAAAATGTATTTCAGGAACCTTTTTAGTTTCCTCCGTCTCGTTACGATCCGCAGAAGTTGCTCTAGTTTTATCGTCGTCGGATAAATTAAGAGTGGGTTCCGACTCGCTGGTGCGTCTCAACGTGGAGCATGGTGAGTGTTCCGAATCGTGGGTTTCCGCTATGCAAGCCAAACTAGTGTTTGCGTGGATCACTGACCGCGCCAGTATAGACGCCATACCCTCACCCTCCTCTTCCTTATTAGCCGTTGGCTTAGGTAATTTCGGTTTCTTCAATCTCTTCAATTTTTTTATCTCATTCTTTATATCGAGTATGGAAATACGTGAATTATCCGAAGAGTTAGACTTCAATGAAATTAGATCAGCATCTTTCTCTGATTTACGAGAACGAACAGAGAATCTCTTTGAAAAGAAATTTGTTTTTAGCTTTTTTATTTTCTTTATCGGTCCAGAAGAATCTGAATCGTAGTCATCTCTTTTATTCAGAAGTCTATTCAAATCTGTTTGATCTTCAGTGATGTGTTTAAGACTCTTCTGAGAGACATATTGATCTTGGTACAGCGAGATGTTGCCCGTATAACTTTTAACACTGGACTTTCGGTTTAGTTCAAAGCTCTTATCGTCATCGTCGTCTATTTGATCATCCAACAAGGATGGAGCTTTTGGATTAAGTATGTTCACCAGCTTTTGAAGCTCGTCCTGGTGAGTTTGAAAATATTCATTCAGATCGGTAACGTCATCTCTATCGGTCGCCAAAATGTCAACGTATTTTTTCAATTGTCTATTTTTTTATATGATTTCAAGCGAACACAACAAACCATGCAAAAATATTTCACATGAGTCTTTGTTTTAAACTTCTTAAAACTAACATCTAATTTAACGAAATTATTTTTCGAAATCAGTATATGTATACATATACATCCAAATAAATATGGTCCTTTCATTTGATAGAAAACTGTACTATGATACAAATTTGTCAAAACTATTATTGCTATTCAAATATTTCGTATCATATAATTATCTTTATTGCTTACGAGATAGTACTCACTGTTGCGTGCACGGCGGTATGTTGTTCGGATATGACGGCGTCGGTATAGGCGTGATGCTGACCGCCGTGCCTGAAAACAAAACCAATTTAACTTTCACATAACACAAGTAACGACTAAATTCAAATTCGAATTGCTAGCATTTACGTGGACGAGTTCACAGTCCACCTGGTGTTAAGTGGTTACTGGAGCCCAGTAACCACTTAACATTTACAACGTCAACGTTGAGATATAAGTTCTAAGGTTTCAGTATAGTTACAACGGCTGCCCCACCCTTCAAACCGAAACGCATCACTGCTTCACGGCAGAAATAGGCAGGGTGGTACCTACCCGTGCGGACTCACAAGAGGAACTATACTGAGACCTTAGAACTCATATCTCAAGGTGGGTGGCGGCATTTACGCTGTAGATGTCTATGGGCTCCAGTAACCACTTAGCACCAGGTGGACTGTGAGCTCGTCCACCCATTTAAGCAATAAAAAAAAAGAAACTCAGCGGGATGTTGGCTTACCGACGGCCCTTGCCACGACACCGGCCTCCCCTTCCAAGTCGAAGTCTTGTTGGTATCCGACGACTGCATTAGCGCCAAGCTCGGCTGCCTTAAGACCTACCAGCCTTTGCACCTGGAAACAATAATTGGCTTGTTGTTAGACTAAAGAAACCTAACAGATGTTTTCCATGGTTAAGGAATAACCTTGCGTAATAAAAACTAAGCCTGCAAAATTATATTTGCGTAATTACTGGTGGTAGGACCTCTTGTGAGTCCGCACGGGTATGTACCACCGCCTCGCATATTTCTGCCGCGAAGCAGTAATGCGTTTTGGTTTGAAGGGTAGGGCAGCCGTTGTAACTATACTGAGACCTTAGAACTTATATCTCCAGGCGGGTGGCGCATTTATGTTGTAGATGTCTATGGGCTCCAGTAACCACTTAACACCAGGTGGGCTGTGAGCTCGTCCATCCATCTAAGGAATAAAGAAAAAAAAAAGGGGTGATTTACCCCGGTTCCCCGACCACTGGTGTAGACCAACAAAGTGTAAGTGTTGGTCCCTGATAGTCGATTACACAAATACTATATAATATACCTGATTACTTAGTTTGATGAAGGCAACTTGTCTGGCTTCGTTCGAAGCTCTCGGGGTTCGGATTTTATCGATCCACTGGTATTCGGGGTCGTCATTCACTACCAACTCCTCGACGAAGCCGTGGATCGAGTTGGCGCGATATCCGGGAGGTATCATCGGACCTGGGATCAATGAAAGTACTTGCTGATGATGTCTTTGATTTTAGTTCCAGCTTCCACAAACTTTTTTTTTTCTATTTTAATCTATTAAAAATAAGTGGGCTTAAAATAAACAGTAGCAGATGACCGGTTTTTTTTTGGATAAATTGTGTTTTTTAGAAATTATATTTAAATATGAATTACATATTGATAAAATGATGAAATATGAATAATATTTTTCGATCTTACCGACAAAATAATAAAAAAATATGAACTGGTCAAAAATATCGATAANTATATATATATATATATATATATATATATATATTAATATACAAGAATTGCTAACGTAAAATGTACATTGGAGAGTGAACCAAAAAGACGAGTTAAATTGTTCGATAGGGCAACGGCTCAAAAAAATTTTCTTCCGAATTCTAGAATATTCGAAATATAGGTACATGTATGGAAGCTTGTTTTGAAAATTACAGCGCGATTAAAATTGTTTTTTTTAAATAATATCTACATTTTACTACATTATACCAATTGAGGACATTAAGCCTAGTCTAAAAATCCTTTACTCGGCATCAGTTAGATTGGGGGAGGACAAACAAGACAGTAACAGAGAATCAGCTCACAATGGAAGAACTGGACCCCGCAACTCGAGGTCTTGTACTTGTTGAAATCAGAGAACAATTCCACTTTCACGATCACGTTCAACTCTCCTCGGATACCGTGCATGGTGTCGAAGACCGGAATCCAGCCGGACAATACTGCACCTGTTTGTGACAAAATCAAGTTATTAGCGTCAATCGAGAGTCATTTTTGTTATTGCTTAGATGAGTGGACGAGCTTACAGCCCACCTGCTGTTAAGTTCTAAGGTCTCAGTATAGTTACAACGCCTGCCCTATCCTTCAAACCGAAACGCATTACTGCTTCACGGCAGAAATAGGCGGGGTGGTGGTACCTACCTGTGCGGACTCACAAGAGGTCTTACCACCAGTAATTACGCAAATTATAATTTTGCTGGTTTGATTTTTATTACACGATGTTATTCCTTCACCGTAGAAGTAAATCGTGTGCATTTGTGAAGGATGCATTTCATCAGAAAAAATTGTACCCGCCTGCGGGATTCGAACACCGTTGCATCGCACGCACTAATGCGACGAATATTATTCGTAGTTTAAACTAAAATTTAACATTTGAGCGGTGCCATTAATACAAGACATTTATCATGACAGAGATTTATCACGTTCTAGAAAAATACTGCTGTCTTCTTACCTCCATGAGGAGCTGTAGTACTCTTCGGATTATTGGCCTCTCGCGCCAATAAGGGCGCTAGACTAATCACCACCTTCCCGATAGCGTCATTGGCCGAATACGTGTCGTGGTCCATTAGTCGAAGTTGCAATGGTTCATCCTGCAGCTCCGATTCATCAACCTTGAATGAAAAGATGATAATTTCAGCTCTCCGAGATACAGGCTTCTTCATTTTTATAATTGCCGCTATGGAAGTGAAGTCTATCTACGCTAGAAGCAACCTCTGTTATGGCATATCTTTAAAATTAGATGCACCTACTTTGCAATTATACGTGAGTTCTTTTGTTATTATATCTGGTGGTAGGAACTCTTATGAGCTTCATAGCAATAATTAACAATGCGGAAACGAAGATAGCAGAGCATTCCGATCACGGATGGTGCTCCAGATATGTGGCAGCTAATGGAAGTGTACCGTGGAATGATGCCACCTACCAGGGATGAAATTCGCTCGGATGCGCTTTCAGTTCTAAAAATAAAATATTTGGGGTTTGCATTGAAGATGCCTTTCCGATCGCACGTGCGCTTCGCGAATTGGCACAGCTATCGGACGTGAATCGCAATGTTGATATTTCGGTTACGTGATTGTTATCTTTATATATATCTAATATATAAAATTCTCGTGTCACAATGTTCGTTCCCATACTCCTCCGAAACCGCTTGAGCGATTCTCATGAATTTTTTTATGCATATTCAGTAAGCCTGAGAATCGGCTACTATCTATTTTTCATACCCCTAAGTGATTAGGGTTGTCCACCCCTACCTTTTTTTTTTATTTGGACTTTTTTTTTGTTATAATGAGTCTTGGTTGAATGAGGTTTTGTTATTTTTATTATATATTCTCTCATCGTTCACAGCACTACATACCTCTTTCACTCATGTACCACATCCTTACACACTTACAATAAGTTAGTTTTTTTTTACACTAGAAATTCCCTAGAAATCTTATATAGGGCAAAACAATGTTTGCCGGGTCAGCTAGTATATATATATATATATATATATTTCTTCTGTGCGTGCGTTTGTCACTGAACTCCTCCTAAACGGCTGGACAAAATTTAATGAAATTTTCTGTGTACCTTCAGGTGGATTAGAGAATGGTTTAGATTTACAAATCAGCCCATCAGATGGCGCTGCAGTCGGTATCTAGGTTATTTATCTTTCCTAGAAATAATTTATATGGCAAAACAACGTTTGCCAGACCAGCTAGTACTATTGAAATTTTAAATCAAATATATAATATATAAAACAATAAAATAGCAGATGAATTATATCTGCTATCAAGGGAAACGCAACCTTTTTTTTTCGGTCCAAGGTGTTTTTAGGTCCCTTACACCAAACGATTCCCCTTGGTGAGGCAAAACTACCTCCATTGCTTTCTTTAAAAATATGGTAGGTAGGTAGGTAAGTAGGTGGATTACTATGACTTTCATAGATTCGAGACTCAAAATAAAAACAGGAAAGTCAGAAGAAACCATCTTGTATTTTTTTCCTTTTTTAGTAATAAATATAGTTAAGCTTTCACGCGATCATCTGGTTATCGGAGCCCATGGAGATCACAAAGTGAATGCCCGTCACTCACTTAGAAACTTGAAGGCAAAGTGGCAATTGAATTGTATAACAATCGACCCTTCAAACCCGAATTTTTCACCGCTTCACGTTAGAAATAGGCTGAACAGCACCTACCCCTTGGTACATACTTTACAACGTTGTCCATCCGCGTGATTGTTCACCTATCAGTGTGCTTAGTGCGAGTTTTTTAACGTTCTCGATAGCGTAAAAGTTAGCTCATATTTGTATGGAGTGGGACTGTTTGCGTACGTTTGCCACTAGGGGCGCTGTTCCAACTGCATACAAAATTGGCTTAACTTTTACGCTATCGAGAACGTTAAGAAACTCGCACTAAGCATACAGAGCAAAATAAAACCAATGGCTGAACCAATCACGTAAAGTTTAAAATTTTGCAGGTTCGTTTTAATTCGCTATTAGTTCGTTAACGTGCTATGTATTTCCTTAGAAAATGTGAACTACCAAAGTGATTCTCGCCAGCTGCCACTTCCTTGTTGTACTAGTAAAGTAGTAGTATCTACATCATTTTTCTAACTGAACCCTCCCACGTATCAAAGAAATCCCATTTCGGAGGTTGACATTGGGCAGGAAATAGGCAAAAGGCGGTTTTTAGAGAACAAAAAATCAAAATTTTAGGCCATAACAAAAACGTTTCCTTCGTTTTCGTGTTTTATATTTAAATTAAAAACATAACTATTGACGTGGAACCGTTACAACGTAGTTTTAACCAACGTAATATCGCGAACACGACGTTACCGTTCTTGGCATCATCCCAACCACGGAGCTATCTTAGTTGAATCACCGAATATATATTATTGTAAAGGACAACACGAATATAAGAGTAAACAGTATGTTAAGTTACTCAAGAGTATTTATGTGTACAACACAGGTATATTTATCTAAATTCTATGACAAACCTTACATTATTTAACAAATTTTTAAAAAGAACTTATAGCGGAAGTTCATATTCGTTGCTCAGGTTGGAAAACTACCTAGCAACTTAAATATGATATTAAGTGTTATAAAAAACATATTTTTATATAGCTTAGAGCTTTGAGTATTTACTGGTAGCAGGTAGCAACCATGCTGTGGTATAAATCAAATGGGCCAAGTTAAAACGAAAATTAAGGTGTGTAATTTAAAAATGGGTTATGATACCAAATCTTCTGTTACCTGGAGATTACAGAAATAAATAGCAGACAGTCGCCAGACACTAATGTAAAAATACTGATGTTCTCCACATGGTGATTGACTTGCTTTATTGCCAAATGCTTTATACATGTCACTATTTATCTATGTTTTAATAAATTAGTTCAAATTCATTATTGGATATTTCCATACGTGGATATAGACATTTGGGTCTGGAAAGCCTTTATCTTCAATGTGTTTTTATGGCCCAACGGTCCTGATGGCAAACAGACACTGTCCCTCTTGGACACCAGCATAGCCAGAAGCAGAAATATGGCACTGCCTACAGCCAGATGACTCTCCTTGCACCTCATTTTAAGAAAAAAGTGTCACAGTACATGGATTACCTCAAACAATTCTTCAAATGAACTAATTAGAGAGTGAAGAAATTACAAAGTTTCAAAGATGGGGACAGTACTCGATGAGAAATTTTGAGCAAAGATTTTTTTATGAACCTTAAAGTAACACATCATATCGACGCTTGAAAGGCAAACGTGACTAAGCGACAATAACTTCTTTGTACATAAATGATAGGCAATAACCATATTCGATGCGCAAAAGGAAATATATTTCTAGGTCAATTAAAATCATTTCAATCCTACAGCTAAGTACTAGCTAGATTCTACTACAGCCAGATTCGTTAAAATACATTTTGTTTTCAGGTATTTCAACTTTAAATAAGTCTACTGTAAAGTTCACGCATCGTCACTTAGTGACTTGTTTGCCTTTCAAGTGTCGATATGTTTTTATCACAATAACATGAAACAGACAAAGCCAAGCACTGCAGTTTAATAAATATGACACAGTGTTTGCTATTACTAATTCATGATCACTTATGCACTAAGAGATAATAAATATTATGATTTGTTGAAATCAAAACCAAGAGAACAAAATATGTTCCTAGTTCATTTTGGACTGGTACTGCATTACGTGAAGCCACAGGATTGGCACCATCATCCTACCTACCTCTAATGTGAACCAATCATTTACTGGATTAAATTAAGGGTAGGCTATAGCCATTAGTGCCATTACTGTAATTATTAGGTGCACAACTAAGTCCTCACTATTTGACAGCAGATGGCTGTAACAATAACTACTGGCCAATTTTAACAGATCTAAAACACTGTGAACCAAACTTAGGTACATGGTGCACATGCATATTTATATTTAGAGATATTGTTGTTGCATGATATACTTTTGGCTATGTGAAAATGTCTGATTTTGTACCAACTAAGCATCATATGCAGGAAGTGTTACATTTCTTCCTTCATTCAAAGAAAATGGCAGATGAATCGCATCGATATCTCACAGAAGTTTAAGGCGATGTGATTAATAAATAAATGCGATTAAGCTAGAAGCACAATGAAGTGATTTTCCTGCATGAAAAATATCAGCCTCCCGTTGCCAAATTCATTACAACCCACTTATAAATATTCAACTTAGATGTCCTAATCTATCTGCTGTATTCCCCAAATATTGTGTTGTCAGATTTAAATTTATTGAGTTTGATAGCTCATGGTCGGGCCGATCAACAGTTATGCTCATACACCAACATTGAAGAATGTAAATTGTAGATAGACTCAAGACATACTTCTAACATTCAAACAACACAAGGTATTCAAACACCAGAATGATGGAAAGAGCGGTAGCTAGTAACGACAATACTTTAAATGATTCATTTGTAAACATATTTTTACAATTAAGTACCTTTCATAAAAAAAAAAAAACAGAGTAAACTTAGTTGCAGACCTTTTATGATTTTAATCTCGTGTCTAGTAGTAGCTATGAAGTTGCTTAATTAAAGTGAAATTCAATAAAATCAAATTTAAAAAAAAAAACATGTCATCCAAACAATTAACTTTTTCTCAAACTACAGTCACGAGCGAAAAACATATATGAAGAAAAACGAAAAGAATAATTATTGAAGGTAGATCAATGTTGGATTCAATATTTACTTACTTCAAACCTATACCACTCTGTGTTGTTCCAATGAGGGTTTAATGACTTTCGGCATACATCAGTCTTGTGTGTCACTCCACCGAACTTGATCTCTACAAAAGCATCCGTTGTGTCGCTTGCCCTGTCCATCACCGGAAGGTTCCTACCAGCCAGGACTTTGACTTTAATTTTACCAGGCATTTTCACTAACACACTCTGTAGAACTTTCTCAAATCAGTGACAGTCAAAACTTTTGAAGAGCAATCTGACAACAGTCGTTCATTTCGATTCAACAATTTGGATTTATTTTAATCAGTACATACAAAACACAGATAATAATTTGCATCTTATCAAACACTGTTTTTTTTAGCACAAATGATATAACTTTTTCGGTTTCGACGGCAGTATAAAGAAAATGTTAGTTTAAGTGAATGAACTCATCCTTTATAATTTTTATTTTCAGTTTTGTTTTTAAAATTTACAACCGATTTAGTTTCATTAATTTCGTTTTTTAAGACAAACGTATGTTTTAATACACTTCGAGTTAAACACAGCATTGCTATGGACACCTTCAAACTGTCTAAATGTTGTTCTAAAAGTAACCCAGCTTATTTATAGATGAAAATGATATTTTATAAATAAAACCGATGCACAACAAATGTAAACGAAGGAAGTGAAGGAACAACTAATTTCTGACACAGAGAAGCACAGACTGATAAACATAGATTAATAATTAGAGAAGACTTTAATAAACAAAATGTTTAATTACGGTACCTACTCTAAAGTACTCTGTACTGAGAAAGAAATGAGTACCATGACATGGGGTAAATTGGGATCCTGGGGTAAATTGGGACAAACCTGCGGAAGATTCTCAAAGTACCTGTAGCACGGAATCTACCTAATTTTGTTTATGTTAATATTTATCAATGTATAGAAGAAAAACCAAGTTAACTATGGAAGTACTAAATATGAGTTAAGTTGGTCCCAAAAATTCGTCAAATTAAATTGAAAATAGTGGTTGAAAAGTGCGTTTTAAAACAGCTTAAAGAACTTTTAAAAAAAGTAATATTATCGTTGTTTTTTCAATAAGATCACAGTTTATATAAGTTTTTAATACACCTGGAAATACCACAACAAACGGTAAGTTGCAATATTCTTATTTTAAATACAATATTTCGACAAAATAAAAAATGTATATTTTTTCCTTTCTTTTTGGGGAAAATTGGGACGTATGTAGGGTAATTGGGAACGAGACTGGAAAAATTAGGGACGAGAAAACACAAAATTGGAACGCCAAAAGACAAAATAGGGATGGCTTGTTAGGGTTGTCACTGATATCTTATAATAGATTTTTTAGCCTATACTATCACTTAATTGCGTGATGTAAAGAAGGTTAATGTGTTTATCAGTTAGTTTATGTAAGTATTATAGGTAAAAGAAAAGTATATATATAATTACTTTTTTTTCGCGACATTTACCTTGTAATATCTGCCCGGTCGTATGTTCTTTATAGCAATAAAAAAAATTAAAAGTTAAAAGAACTCAAACGAATCAAAACTTTTGTTATTTCAGAATCTATTCACGCGTCGAATCATGATTTTGTTAACATTCAAAACGCACACACAAATAAAAACAGGCCTCAGATTTTAAATGTAACATTAATTAAAAATCCGAGATATCCAATTATGAGTGAGTGAATTAATTGAGTTTAGTTATTTAGCTTAGAAAGAATTTCTTTTATTTTTGTTATTATTGGCAGTAATCAGATAAAGCTGTTTTTTTATCTTATTCACCTGATATCTTACTCTTGCTCAAAGATTATTTTGAAAATGTTGATTAAATAAAATTGTATTAATGCATTTCCAGTCCTTTTGTTTTCTATTTTTTATTCTATTTTATGATTTTGTTTCAGAGTTGTGATTTTTAAGGAAATTAAATAATAATTTTCTAAAATATAACATGCACATACTTTTTTTGATCATTGTATTGTTGATTATCATTCACGTCACATCGCTTCGGAATAGAAACCAGCTTAATTTACACTATGTTGTGTATTGTGCTTAAATTATGGATTGTATTCATCATTTCGGTCCATATAAATAATTATATGGCACCTACCTATATATCGCAGTACTGCGAGTTGACAACCCTTACAAATATCCCAATTTAACCCTTAACCGTGTCAATTTACCCCGGACGCTGGGTAAATTGGGACGGCCATTATTTTACCGATTATTTCTTTAAAATGAATAATTAAAATAATGTAACGGTTTTTATCACCTAGGTACGTTCAAGACTCAACTTATTTCTTTGGTTGAGCAGTGACTATTTAATTGGAACTATGTTAAAATTCAATCTGAAGTTCGATTTTGTCCCTATTTACCCCATTTTACGGTAGATGAAATAGATCGCTTCTAATCTTCGCTAGAAGTACATAGTGTTCTGTGCATCTAATTGTGTATGTTGTCTTTTGCAAGGTGTCTTTTGTTCTGTTTTTGAATAAATTATCATATTTTTACACTGTGTAAAATCTAGTGTTCTAATACTTTACTCATTTAATTTTGTTTAGTATGTATTAGAAAATACTGGTAGGTAAAATACCTTTAAATATTTATTTTTTTGCTAAAAACCGATAAAAAATTTAAATTTACACAATAAAATTCACGTCCAGGTAAATAGTGCCTATAAACAAGTCAAGATAAGTATGTAGTCTTGAACTTTTTACTTGGATTTGCGTCAATCTTTATTTATTCAATAACTGTTAACATATAGCCATTCCTTTATCTTCTTCTTCTTTTTTTTTTTAAATATAAAAATGAATTGCTGTTCGTTAGTCTCGCTAAAACTGGAGAACGGCTGGACCGATTTCGCTAATTTTGGTCTTGAATTATTTGTGGAAGTCCAGAGAAGGTTTAAAAAAATGATCGGAATTAAATAAAAATAACAATTTTATTTTTCCTTTGATGTGTCCCCCGTCGGACGGATTCCTTTTGTTTATTTTAAGTTTATTTTACACCAGCGGGGGTCGCGGGTTCGAATCCAGCCAAGGGAAGATATTTGTATGATAATAAATATAAAATGTCTTTTCCAGGGTTATGGATGTATATTAAATATGTGTATGTGTATAATAAAAATCTTATATTGATTTCCGTTAACTGGTACCTGTAACACAAGTTCTTTACGAACTTATCACGGGACCAGTTAACGTGGCGTGACTGTTAGTAAATATTTATTTATTATTTTATACAAAAGTTTAGGTCTCTTATTTATCGATTGAGGCACTACGAAGTCTGCCAGGTCAGCTAGTTTCTAATGAAAAACTAGTACTGAACAAGCTATAGTCCTTTTGTTTTACCACTTGGCTCCAAGCAATTAGTAGTTACTGAAGCCCATAAAGCTCACCATATGAATCCTGCTGCATACCGAAATGGTGAAAGTTTTGAACTAGATCGCCCAAATGCCTCATGGTAGATATTAGTAAAATAAATAATACCCACTGAGAACAGAAAGAATTTGGAAAGGATATTTTTCCTCCTCTAATAGGCAAAAGAATACAGTTCCAGATGAGTTAAAGAAATGTATGCAGTACATAGAGACCTGGGTTTGTCTACCAATATGCTATATTGATTAGCCAGAGAGCATTATTAGTATCCTGGATACATCTTATCAAACTTTGGGTTTGGGTACTCCAAACGACACATCAGCTGCTATAAAAATACAACAATGTCATCTTTCAAAACATTGGATAATAGTTTCTGGTTGTGTAACATGTTTATCTTCCATTGATTAACAAAGGTCAAATGGTTCAAATGAGTATGAATTGAAATTGATGAAACTACTAGTCTAAGATCCTACCTTAAAACAAACATTCTTCAACTAGTTGGCTAGCAAAATATATATTTCCTAAATACAAAGAAAGTATATATAAAAAAATGCTACTCGAAATGTTGCCACTAAGTTCCACATCTGCCTAGATCTGAGTGAACATTGGTAGAGGACACTCTGGATAAGACGAGTGTCTTGACCATGGGGTGGCCTGATATAAAGAATATCATCCACGTGCACAGTGCATTTAACTTGCTCTAAAGCATTTTCTCTCAAAATTGAATCTCAAATGACCAGCATGCATAGGGCACCTTTCTATCCCTTGAACCACTGATCTGAGGCTAAAAGTGTGAAGGGATGGGATGAAAAAAGCTGAAGACCATCTTTTGCGTTGCACAATAGTAATAGATGCCTTCCAAAATATTGGGAGAGGACTTTATCCTTTATTGAGATACAAGCGAGGCAATTAACAAAATGGTGTATTTAATGCATTTAGTTATTGTCAAAAAGATTCTGCAAGCTTGGATTCACATTTATTGTATACATTTTTAATAATAAATTTGATGAAGGAAGGTAAAATAAAGCAAAATCCCATATCATTACGCAGTTAAATAACTTCTTTGTTGCAAGGCTTATCCACCACTATACACCTAGCATTGCTAATCTTCACGATCGACCACTTCTTGTCAATTTCGAAACATTATTATAGTTTTTACTTGTTTTCCTAAATGGAGTAAATTAAATATTGGCAAAAGATTGTACCATCATCAAATAAATAAAAAAAAAAAATTTAAAGTCGCCGTTATGGACACCATTCAAGGTCGATCGTTTCGTTCGTAGGACTGCGTATGAATTTGATTATATTAATAATTAATGAATAGAATCTCGGTTGACGTCACGATTTGACATGTGGGGTCCACGTGTCTTAAAATTGACATTCCGATGTCGTATGTAGTACACTTGAAAACAATTTTCTGACAAGAGAACAAATAGCTACACAATGAGATAGGTGCCACTATTGGCTCTTTAGAATAACAAAATTCATAGAAGATATTTCCTTTGTTATAATATTTATATTTCGCGCGTGTTTTGCTCTGGTATAGTATTCCAAGATTTGTAAGGATTTCATTATAAAAAATCCTTTCAATTTATTTATTTTTTATTTACCGTACGGCCCTTTTCACGAAGCGTGGTCATCGTTGCTCATGGATCTCAACAATCCAGGGAACAACATCCTCAAGCAAGCAAGACATGGAACATTCAAACTCGGATAATGAGAAAATAGATGTTTGGAAACACTGGATAGACGCAATGGTTCTAGGTAGTATGGATCGATTCTGCTTCGCTGCCGTCCCGTGCGATGGTAGAAAGGAGATGTCGTGAATACCTTAAACAATTCTTCGGAATATAAATATAAAATTTCTTTATATACCGAAATGTGCCGGGCTCCAAATGCCACTACTAGCCGCATAATGACTCGTATCTCACCAAAATTTCACCACACGTAAACATACTGTTAATTGAATCGACTATTATCAAAGCCGGCAATCTGACTTTTGGACAATGATTGGTAAATCAGAAAAACGAATTATTGACTTTGTATTCCATTGGCAGTCACAAAACTCTTCGGAACGACATCTTAGATAAATAACAGGTTAACAATTATCCTTTATTTAATGCAGGTTTTGAACCGTATTCTTTGAAGGAGACGATTATATTCAAATCAATCTGTATTGACATATCAATAAAAAAACTTTGTCCAAATGCACAGATTGCCACCTTTGATAATAGACGACTCATTTATGGAATTATTTCCAATGAGAGAATTACGCCGAATGTTTTCTTTTCCAGAATATGGAATTGACGTGTTCGCTTT